AATAGGTAGCGAATTAATATGTTTCCTAATTGGAAATTTTCTGACTAATCGGCCGAGGTGAACTGAATGGTTATCACTCCAGACTAACCTGCCGCTAACCGGTCCATCGATGATCAAAGAAAATGAGAAAATGAATGGAGAATGAGAAAAATGAAGAAAATTCATTCTTCGTGTCTTGGGAACAGTGTTATGCTATTTTGTTTGGATGTGGATCCTACACGCACGAAGGTTTGGATAATTTGAGAGAAGATCACTACCTCCTGTAAAACAGTGGAGGACAACAGTGAATGTCACAACTTAGACCCTACATTTGGATGACTGATCAATTCCCCCATGACATTTTTATGAGAGCTCATTTCAGGGACGAATCTCGTTAGAAAATTGGGTTGCCTCTGGGACCGTGTGGACCGCCGGTGGGCCACTATGGCAACATGCGGAAAACGGGCGTGGTTTTTCCTAACAGACACGTTCGGAGCGCACTATCGCATATCGTCACCACTTGATTCCCACAGACCCACTGTTACCCTCTTGCTTCTGTTTCGATGGCGGGTTTTAAGAATGCAAATCAGTGGTCGATGTTGCGCGGCCACCGTCTCTTACGACACAGCTTTCGCATCTGACACGAGGCCTTTATCGCGGTGTCTGGCGAGAACACAATCCATTTGTGTTCTGGTTTTGCCGCTGTAGAATGTGATGATATGACAGTCACGTTTTCGAATCGTTGCATTCACGATAGTGAGGTCATGAAAATCGGCATATTGAAAGATCCGTTCGCCGTTGAAGGTAAGTGACTCATATCCAAGCCCACCATGACAACTGTGTCCACCCTTCGTACTGCTCACGTGCCCATTTAGGTAAACCGCGATAACAGTAGCTTCTTGTGGTGGCACTTGTCTTTTCACAGCTGTCTTCTTATCAAGCAAGAACCCTTCGTCGATTCGCTCAGAGCAACCAGTCTGTTGAGCTCATACCGAAAAAAGAGGGTTCGGTTGGTGTTCAGGAATGACCACAATCTTCATAAGGCGGTAATTGAAGCGTTCGGCGTCAACAATCGAGTCCCGGAAATGTTCGAAGACAGTACTCCGACGCCGTTTGTATTCTTGGAGCTGCCGCAAAGAATGGCTTGCAAGCCGTGCCCGATGCCTCTCAACTTGTAGCAGAACGGCCGCATTTGGCGCACGGTACAGAAAACTAATTTCTCACTCTAGCGCATCTACTAGTTGTAGGAACGGCCTGAACGCCCCAACACTTGGCGGTGCGACGCTAGCTTTCCATTCCTTGTGGATTTTCTGAAGTAGCATAGCTGCCCTTCGATGCTTTCCTTACATACAGTAGCGCTCAAAAGAATTCGGCCAAATGCTCCTCACTCGTACTTTTCATTCATGACTCCTTTCCTACTGAATCTAATCAAGCGAAATTTCAATATGTTTAGCATTCGTGTTGTGTGAATATTTACTACAATCGATCTGCATTTTGATCATGTTCCAAATATCCCAAAGGGCTTGAACTCAAAATCGACTGAAAATAGGGGCATTGGTGCGGATTTCTTTCCTTTTTGCCATGTACAAAGTGTACGAGCGCTAATGCGGAACACAGAAGAGGAGAAAAACGCAAATAAGGTGCGAATAACTGCAGACGTCACAAACTTGCTCTCAGTATAGTCTACAAACGCCTTCTCCTTAGCTACGTGAACATTGCTGCTTTGCAGTCAAATAGTGTTGGATAGTGCGAAATAGGCTTCAGTTAAACATCTCAAAATTTTATGCGAATTGCTCCACTGGGAAAAAAGTTACGGCAAATTAAAGTTGACCGAGGCTGACTTTTGAGCACTACTGTGCATAGGAGACTCACGCATACTTGTCACACCCGCCGACTTTTGCGAGTCTGCTCTGGCTCCCATGGACGCCGTAGCATTTAATCGTGGTACATTAGACGTCACAAAGCATTTTGATGTAAGAAGGGTGTTCGTAGATCGGCCTACCTTGAAAATCTGTCACTTCCATTCGAAAGTCCTTGTTCAGCTCGGCACGCCTGCGCAGGCCTTTCACATTGGCATAAAGAGACGGACAACCCCGCCGGAAGCGTTACATATACGCGCGAAAAAGCCTAAGCTGAACATCCGAAGTGAGTAAATGGCCGTAATAAATGGACGCTTGCCATCCATTCCCCTTTGTGGGCTTTCAGATCACCGCATAGTTCTACCTAACAATTATCGATGGTCTCTCAGTGGTCCCCTGTTGGTCACGTAATCAAGTGGGACGTCAGCGCTGGCAGAACTGCAGAAGGTGGGTTAGATGACTGGGATTTTCGGACGCTTAAGCTTCCGGGAGTTGGTGCAACTAGCGCATTTGGTCGCGTGTTGGGACAAGTCACAGATAAAGTAGTTCGAACCGTTTCCGGAGTCCAAGCTGTCCAAAACACGGACCAAATAAAGCGGTTCGACCGTAACAAACTTGTACAGCAGAGCAGAATAAAACATTGAGTCAACAAGCTGCGTTTGTTTTAGAGTGATTTCTCATTTCAAAGAACGAAAACAACTCATTATTCTTCAGCCGAGAATTGGAAATAATTTTATCAGGAAATGATTGGTCATCGTACAAACTCGAAAGAAGTTAGCGTTACTCACTCTGCAGGTGGTAAAGGCAGCGTTCCGTATTATACGGCTAACTAACTACGGATAACTGATGAGTGCAGCAAAAGAAAAGAAAGTGGCGGAGGTAAAAGTGACGCTAGCATTAGGCCGAAGACAAATTAATAGGAATTGATGTTGATCTTGCTTGGAACTCCCACGAGGTTGTTATGAAAATTTATTTGCTAACGTTTCGGCGATATCGCCTTCTTCAGAGCCTGAAAGTGGATCAAAACAATTTGCGGATATTAGATCAAAGGTCTCCACAACCCTACAGAAGTTCGAGACCCCCCAGAGCACCACGTAACCCAAAAGAGGAGCACTCACCGTCACTTCGTGGATCCTCGAAATCACCCAGCAACCGATAGTGGGACCAGGTC